GACGGGGTGGTGTTGGCCATGCTGATCGCGCCCGGGTACACCACCGCCGCCGCCGCCGCGTTTCATGGGGATCTGGGGCTGTTGCCTAAAGGAGGACAAAAAAAAAAAAAAAAGAACGACAGGAAAAGTCAGCGAACGAATCGGAGGGAACATCGCGGTCAGGCGAGGAAAAAACGGGACAAAAATACGGGTCAGCTGGCGCTAAATTCTGGTGCGTGGAGGCGGCGATATAAATGTATTTCTCATTGGACACGCCCCTAATTATTAATGCATGTTAAAGTGATACTAAAGGAAAAAAAAATAACACACGTCATAATTATTTATTAAAAAAAAAAATCTCATATATGGGCAAGATCAATAAATAAATGAAAAAAATATGAAAAAAAAACGTATTTATAAAAAAATTTATTTATTAAGTATGACATGTTTGAAATGAAAAATAACTTACGCGCTACTAAGGATCAAAATTCATATATAGCTGCTATAACATGAAACCCTATCTCATATATGGGCAAGATCAATAAATAAACAAAATTAAAAAAAATAAAAAATAAACCAAAATTAAAAAAAATTTTTAAAAAAGAAAAAAATATGAAAAAAGTATTTATTAAGTATAACATGAAAAAAAAAATGAAGAAAAAAAAATGAAAAAACAAATATGAAAAAAAAAAACTGTATTTATTAAGTATGACATGAAAAAAAAAAAAAAAAAAAAAAAATGAAAAAAAAAAACGTATTTTTATTATGACATGTTTGAAATGAAAAATAACTTACGTGCTACTAACGATCAAAATTCATATATAGCTGATATATATATATGAAAAAAAAAAATATGAAAAAACAAATATGAAAAAAAAAAACTATTTATTCAGTATGACATGAAAAAAAAAAAAAAAAAAAAATGAAAAAAAAAAATACTATTTATTATGACATGTTCGAAATGAAAAATAACTTACGTGCTACTAACGATCAAAATTCATATATAGCTGATATATATATATATGAAAAAAAATATGAAAAAACAAATATGAAAAAAAAAAAAACTATTTATTAAGTATGACATGAAAAAAAAAAAAAAAAAAAAAAAAAAAAAAAACGTATTTATTATGATGTTCGAAATGAAAAAAAAAAAAAAATGAAAAAAAAAACTTATTTATTATGACATTTTGAAATGAAAAATAACATATGAAAAAAAAAAAAAAACGTATTTATTTATTATGAAAACATGTTTGAAATGAAAAATAACTTACGTGCTACTAACGATCAAAAATAATAGCTGATATATATATATATATGAAAAAAAAAATATGAAAAAACAAATATGAAAAAAAAAACTATTATTATTAAGTATGACATGAAAAAAAAAAAAAAAAAAAAAAAAAAAAACGTATTTATTATGACATGTTTGAAATGAAAAATAACTTACGTGCTACTAACGATCAAAATTCATATATAGCTGATATATATATATATATGAAAAAAAAATATGAAAAAACAAAATATGAAAAAAAAAAAAAAAAAACTATTTATTAAGTATGACATGAAAAAAAAAAAAAAAAAAAAATGAAAAAAAAAAACGTATTTATTATGACATGTTTGAAATGAAAAATAACTTACGTGCTACTAACGATCAAAATTCATATATAGCTGATATATATATATATATATGATAAAAAAAAAAAAAAAAAAAAAAAAAAACATTAAGTATGAATGAAAAAAAAAAAAAAAAAAAAATGAAAAAAAAAACTTATTTATTATGACATTTTGAAAAAAATAACTTACGTGCTATGATCAAAATTCATATATAGATAAAAATATAAAAAAAAAAATATGAAAAAAAAAATATGAAAAAAAAAAACTATTTATTAAGTACATTAAAAAAAAAAACTTATTTATTATGACATGTTTGAAATGAAAAATAACTTACGTGCTACTAACGATCAAAATTCATATATAGCTGATATATATATATATATATGAAAAAAAATATGAAAAAACAAATATGAAAAAAAAAAACTATTTATTAAGTATGACATGAAAAAAAAAAAAAAAAAAAAAATGAAAAAAAAAACTTATTTATTATGACATGTTTGAAATGAAAAATAACTTACGTGCTACTAACAATCAAAATTCATATATAGCTGATATATATATATATGAAAAAAAATATGAAAAAACAAATATGAAAAAAAAAAACTATTTATTAAGTATGACATGAAAAAAAAAAAAAAAAAAAAAAAAAAAAAAAAAAAACGTATTTATTATGACATGTTCGAAATGAAAAATAACTTACGTGCTACTAACGATCAAAATTCATATATAGCTGATATACATATATATATATATGAAAAAAAAAAATGAAAAAACAAATATGAAAAAAAAAAAAAAAAAACATATTTATTAAGTATGACATGTTTGAAATGAAAAAACTAACTTACGCGATCAAAATTCAAGTGCATCAAAAAATATGTGAATATAACCCAAACATATATAGCTGCTATAACACAAAACCCGATCTCATATATGGGCAAGATCAATACATAAATGAAAATTTTTTTTTTTAAAAAAAAAATGAAAAATAAAATGAAAAAAAAAATGAAAAAAAAATGAAAAAACGTATTTATAAAAAAAACGCAAGATCAATAAATAAATGAATAAAATTAAAAAAATGAAAGAAAAAAAAAGTATTTATAAAAAAAACATATTTATTAAGTATGACATGTTTGAAAAGAAATGAAAAATAACTTACGCACTGCTATGGATCAAAATACAAGTGCATCTCATATATGGGCAAGATCAATAAATACAGTAAATGAAAAAAAATTTAAAAAAAATAAATAAAATAATGGAAAAACCTATTTATAAAAAAATGTATTTATTAAGTTTTTTAATTTTTTTTTTCATTTATTTGTTGATCTTGCCCATATTTGAGATCGGGTTTTGTGTTATAGCAGCTATATATATATATTTGGGTTATATTCACATATTTTTTTAGCTGCACTTGAATTTTGATCCATAGTTGCGTGTAAGTTATTTTTCATTTAATTTCAAACAAGTCATACTTAATAAATACGTTTTTTATAAATACGTTTTTTTAATTTTTTCCATTTTTTTTTCATTTTTTTTTTTCCATTTATTTGTTGATCTTGCCCATATATCAGATAGCGTTTCATGTTATAGCAGCTATATATACAGTGGGGATGGAAAGTTTGGGCACCCCAGCTACAAATGTGTATTAATGTGCATAAAGAAGCCAAGGAAAGATGGAAAAATCTCCAAAAGGCATCAAATTACAGATTAGACATTCTTATAATATGTCAACAAAAGTTAGATTTTATTTCCATCATTTACACTTTCAAAATAACAGAAAACAATAAAATGGCGTCTGCAAAAGTTTGGGCCCCCTGCAGAGTTAATATCTTGTACTGCCCCCTTTGGCAAGTATCACGGCTTGTAAACGCTTTTTGTAGCCAGCCAAGAGTCTTTCCATTCTTGTTTGAGGTATCTTTGCCCATTCTTCCTTACAAAAGTCTTCCAGTTCTTTGAGATTTCTGGACTGTCTGTCACGCACGGCTCTTTTAAGGTCCATCCATAGATTTTCAATGATGTTGAGGTCAGGAGATTGTGAAGGCCATGGCAAAACCTTCAGTTTACGCCTCTTGATGTAATCCCTCATGGATTTCCAGGTGTGTTTAGGATCATTATCCATTTGTAGAAGCCATCCTCTCTTTAACTTCAGCTTTTTCACAGATGGCATCAAGTTACCATCCAAAATTTGCTGAAATTTTATTGAATCCCTTTTTCCTTCTACTCGTGAGATGTTCCCTGTGCCACTGGCTGCAACACAACCCCAAAGCATGATTGATCCAACCCCATGCTTCACAGTTGGACAGAGGTTCTTTTCCTTAAATTCTGTGCTCCTTCTCCAAACGTACCTTTGCTCATTCCGACCAAAAAGTTCAATTTTAACCTCATCGGTCCACAGAACTTGTTTCCAAAATGCATCAGTCTTGTCTATATGTTCATTTGCAAAGTTCAAACGATGATTTTTGTGGTGAGGACGTAGAAGAGGTTTTCTTCTGATGACTCTTCCATGAAGACCATATTTGTACAAGTATCTCTTTATAGTGGAATAGTGACCACAACTCCAGTGTCTGCCAGATCTTTCTGGAGGGATCGTGCAGTCAAATGTGGGTTTTGAATTTTTTTTCTCACAATCCTGCGAGCTGTTCTGTCTGATATTTTTCTTGGTCTTCCAGATCTTGCTTTAACTTCCACTGTTCCTGATGACTGCCATTTCTTAATGACATTCCGAACAGAGGATATTGACATCTGAAAACGCTTTGCTATCTTCTTATAGCCTTCTCCAGCTTTGTGAGCGTCAACTATTTTCAGTTTCAGTTTTCTAGACAACTGCTTAGAAGAAGCCATGGTGCTGATTGTTGGGGCAAGGTCAGATGAGTCTGGGCATTTAAAAACCTTTGAGATTGACATCACCTGGTCTTCCCAGACGATGATTGAGAACAATCCATGACACTGGCAGGTCTCAGCTTGGCAAAGGGGGCAGTGCATGCTATAAATTCTGCAGGGGGCCCAAACTTTTGCAGACGCCATTTTTTTGTTTTCTGTTATTTTGAAAGTGTAAATGATGGAAATAAAATCTAACTTTTGTTGACATATTATAAGAATGTCTAATCTGGAATTTGATGCCTTTTGGAGATTTTTCCATCTTTCCTTGGCTTCTTTATGCACATTAATACACATTTTTAGCTGGGGGCCCAAACTTTCCATCCCCACTGTATATATATTTGGGTGTTTATATTCACATATTTTTTAGCTGCACTTGAATTCTGATCCTTAGTAGCACTTAAGTTATTTTTCATTTCATTTCCAACTCGTCATACTTAATAAATACGTTTTTTTTTTAAAAATTCCTCCTCCATTATGCCTCCTAGTGACCCCCAACATCTCCGTGAAGCGCCCTCTGATTTATGGTTTGCTCACCCCACGGTGAAGAATTGCCTCATCTCCTGTCTCCTCGACCTCATCAGCTGTTTGTACTCTCCAATACGGAGCTTCTTGCCGTCCACGATACACGTGCGCTTGGGCCGGGGCTTGTACTTGTAGTTGGGATACTTCTCTAGGTGGATCTTGCTGAGGCGAGCTTGTTCTTCGTAGTATGGCTGCTTCTCTTGGTTGGACATGGCTTTCCAGCGGGAACCTACAAGGTCAAGAAATGGATGTCAATCGCCTAAAAAAAATGCCAAAAGGTGCAAGTTCAGCCGCAAGCGCCAATGATGGAGCAAAGTGCCATGAAGATGGGACCTACAAGGCCAAGACATTGAAGTCAACTGCAGAGCCTTAGCATGCCAAAAGGTGCAACCTCAGCTACAATGATGGAACATGAGGGTAACATTCCATGAAGATGGGACCTACAAGGCCAAGACATCGCAGTCAACTGCAGAGCCTTAAAATGCCAAAAGGTTCAAGTTCAGCCGCAAGCGCCAATGATGGAACATGAGGGCAACGTACCATGAAGATGGGACCTACCATGCCAAGACATCTAAGTCAACAGCAGAGCATTAATATACCAAAGGTGCAAGTTCAGCCGCAATGGTGGAACATGAGGAGAAAGTGCCATGAAGATGGGACCTACAAGGCCAAGACATCTACGTCAATGGCAGAGCGCCAAAAGGTCAACTCCAGTAGAGCCCTACAATACCAAACATGCCAAAGATGCAACCTCAGCCGCAATGATGGAACATCAGAACGAGGTGACATGGAACCTACCATGCCAAGATATCGAAGTCAATGGCAGTGCCTTAAAATGCCAAAGGTGCAACCTCAGCCGCAAGCGCCAGTGATGGAACATCAGAACGAGGTGACATGGAACCCACCATGCCAAGACATCGAAGTCAACTGTAGAGCCTTAAAATGCCAAAGGTGCAACCTCAGCTGCAAGAGCCAATGATGGAACATCAGGAGAAAGTACCATGAAGATGGGACCTACATGGCCAAGACATCGACGTCAACTGCAGAGCCTTAAAATGCCAAAAGGTGCAAGTTCAGCCGCAAGCGCCAATGATGGAACATGAGGGCAACGTACCATGAAGATGGAACCTACAAGGCCAAGACATCTAAGTCAACAGCAGAGCATTAAAATACCAAAAGGTGCAAGTTCAGCCGCAATGGTGGAACATGAGGAGCAACGTACCATGAAGATGGGACCTACAAGGCCAAGACATCTATGTCAATGGCAGAGCCTTAAAATGCCAAAGGTGCAAGTTCAGCCGCAAGCGCCATGATGAGAACATCCAGAACGAGGTGACATGGAACCCACCATGCCAAGACATCTAAGTCAATGTAGAGCCTTAAAATGCCAAAGGTGCAACCTCAGCTGCAAGAGCCAATGATGGAACATCAGGAGAAAGTACCATGAAGATGGGACCTACATGGCCAAGACATCTAGTCAACTGCAGAGCCTTAGAATGCCAAAAGGTGCAACCTCAGCTACAATGATGGAACATGAGGGTAACATTCCATGAAGATGGAACCTACAAGGCCAAGACATCGAAGTCAACTGCAGAGCCTTGAAATGCCAAAAGGTGCAAGCTCAGCTGCAAGAGCCAATGATGGAACATGAGGACAACGTACCATGAAGATGGGACCTACCAATGCCAAGAAATGGATGTCAATTGCCTTAAAATGCCAAAGGTGCAACCTCAGCCGCAAGAGCCAATGATGGAACATGAGAACGAGGTGACATGGAACCCACCATGCCAAGACACTTATCGATGTCGACTGCCGAGCCTTTACATACTATAGGCGCACCGTGAGCTGAAGGTGGTAACCATGGAACATGAGAATGGCGCGCCATGGCCAGGAAGGAGCTGAAGTTCCTCCACATCTCCCATACATCGCCCTCCCCCCAACAGATCGACTTGAGATAATTTTCTGTACGGCGACTTCAAAAAGGTGCGCCGTTCTAGAATCTCAACCGCAACAACCAACCACAGGTGTCAAAACAAGAACGGAGGCCCGCCCCCCCTCCCCAGACACAAGAACAAACACCCCCTACTGGCCGGCGTTCAATAAAGCTTTATTATTCCAGGTGGGTACGACCCTCCTCCAGAGGCGGGGCTGATGGGGAGTTACAATAAAGTTTGGTGTATTGAACGCCGATCAGCAGACGGTACGATCTGCGTTTGTATTGGTGGCCCAATTTTGGCTTCGCTGATGAAGCCAGGGGCCCTTTCTCATAGACGGATCTCATGGGACCGCGGGGCCACGGCACAGCCGCCTTCTTCTCACGAGGTATCAGTACATGGATTATGTATGTCTCGTATTACACGCCAATTCTAGATCCTATGAAAAGACGAGAGCCCAAGGTTCCGTATGTCGATGTCTATTCTACGTCTGTGCCACAGGAAGGAAGGACGATCGTATTTGTTGTTGGGGGATGGTGGAGGACGCCAACATATCGATTTCCTTCTGTTGACGGTAACAAACGGCGAACACGTGAAAAGCCCCATTAGATCAAAGCTTCGCCTTTTGTTTCCTCCCTCCATGTTGGAAGTGAAATGATTCCCATTACCGATCAGACGACTCCGCAGACGAATGGCAATCGACTTTCTGCTTTTATCATGGAAATCTCCTCTTGGCGTGCAGATGAGCCCAAGGCTACAGAAATTAGCAACTTTCTATGATATAAACACGGAACACAATCACGCTTGCCACCTGCGACCTTGAGCGAGTCTGGCGGTGAATGGATGCGTACAGCTGAGAGCGCTCCGTAATTGACGGGTGAATAGGCCGCGCCCCGCTGGAAATGGCGCACACGGTGCCAAGGGTAAGGCCGACATGTTCAATTGTGTGCCGAAAGAACACGGCTGGAATCGAATACAGGAACACAAAATACCCGACACGTATGGGATTGACACGTGGCAGCGCAAAATACCCGTGTATGGGATGAACACGCAGGAACACAAAATACCCGACATGTTTGGGATGAACACGCGGGAACACAAAATACCCGACACGTATGGGATGAACATGCAGGAACGCAAAATACCCGACATGTATGGGATCGACACGTGGAACCACAAAATACCCGACATGTATGGGATCGACACGTGGAACCACAAAATACCCGACATGTATGGGATGAACACGCGGGAGCACAAAATACCCGACATGTTTGGGATGAACACACAACACACGTGGGAGCGCAAAATACCCGACATGTATGGGATGAACACGCAGGAACACAAAATACCCGACATGTATGGGATGAACACGGAACACGCGGGAGCACAATATATCCGACACGTATGGGATCGACACGTGGAACCACAAAATATCCGACATGTATGGGATGAACACGCAGGAGCGCAATATACCTGATATGTACGGGATCGACACGCAGGAGCGTAAACTACCCAACATGTTTGGGATGAACACAGAACACGCGGGAGCACAAAATACCCAACATGTACAGGATCGACATGCGGGAGGGAGCACATACAGACAGGAACAAAGTGTTGTCACCCCGTAACAGGAAATGCCAAACAAAGGACCTTCATGGCAGGATCATGTCACCCCTGAGATACGATGGGGCATCCTATTCCAGGGGTGACAACACAGGAGCACAATTGTCAGACAGGAGCAAAGCGTTGTCACCCCGCAACAGGAAGTGCCCAACTCTAAGGCTTTACAAACATTGATCCTTCACTGCCACCCCTGAGCTGGAGATATACAACCGATACAATGTAAATGATAATAGAATGGCGAGTATATATACTACAGAGCAGTATACGGGTATATATACTACCGAGCAGTATACGGGTATATATACTACCGAGCAGTATACGGGTATATATACCACAGAGCAGTATACGGGTATATATACCACAGAGCAGTATACGGGTATATATATACTACCGAGCAGTATACGGGTATATATACCACAGAGCAGTATACGGGTATATATACTACAGAGCAGTATACGGGTATATATACTACCGAGCAGTATACGGGTATATATACCACAGAGCAGTATACGGGTATATATACTACAGAGCAGTATACGGGTATATATACTACAGAGCAGTATACGGGTATATATACTACCGAGCAGTATACGGGTATATATACTACCGAGCAGTATACGGGTATATATACCACAGAGCAGTATACGGGTATATATACTACAGAGCAGTATACGGGTATATATACTACCGAGCAGTATACGGGTATATATACTACAGAGCAGTATACGGGTATATATACTACACAGAGCAGTATACGGGTATATATACTACAGAGCAGTATACGGGTACATATACTACACAGAGCAGTATACGGGTATATATACTACAGAGCAGTATACGGGTATATATACCACAGAGCAGTATACGGGTATATATACTACACAGAGCAGTATATACGGGTATATATACTACAGAGCAGTATACGGGTATATATACCACAGAGCAGTATACGGGTATATATACCACAGAGCAGTATACGGGTATATATACCACAGAGCAGTATACGGGTATATATACTACCAAGCAGTATACGGGTATATATACTACAGAGCAGTATACGGGTATATATACCACAGAGCAGTATACGGGTATATATACTACCAAGCAGTATACGGGTATATATACTACCAAGCAGTATACGGGTATATATACTACAGAGCAGTATACGGGTATATATACCACAGAGCAGTATACGGGTATATATACTACCAAGCAGTATACGGGTATATATACTACACAGAGCAGTATATGGGTATACAGTTGCAAGAAAAAGTATGTGACCCCCTTGGGATTACGTGGAGTTTTGCATGAATTGGGCATAAAATGTGCTCTGAACGTCATCTAAGTCACAACAATAGAAGAACACAGTCTGCTGAACATAATACTACACAAACATTAGATGTTGCCATGGTTTCATTGCACATAACATGTAAACATTCACAGCGCAGGGAGGAAAAAGTATGTGAGGCCCTAGCTTAATGACTTCTCCCAGAGCTGATTGGAGCCAGGAGTGAGCCAACCTTGACTGCAATCAGTGGGATGATATTGGATGTGTTGCTGACACCTGTTTTGGGTTTACTGGTTTCAAGAAGCACTGTCTGATGTGAACCATGCCTCGCAGAAAAGAGCTCTCAGAAGACCTACCATCAAGAATTGTTGACTTGCATGAAGCTGGAAAGGGTTACAAAAGTATCTCCAAAAGCCTTGATGTTCCTGTGTCCACGGTAAGACAGACTGTCTACAAATGGAGAAAGTTTAGCACTGTTGCTACTCTCCCTAGGCGTGGTCGTCCTGTAAAAATGACTGCAAGAGCACAGCGCAGAATGCTGCATGAGGTAAAGAAGAATCCCAGAGTGTCAGCTAAAGACCTACAGAAATCTCTGGCACATGCTAACATTTTTGTTGCCACATCTACAATAAGGAAAACATGAAACAAGAATGGAGTACATGGGAGGACACCACGGAGGAAGCCATTGCTGTCCAAAAAGAAGATTGCAGCACGTTTGAAGTTTGCAAAAGAGCACCTGGATGTTCCACAGCACTACTGGCAGAATATACTGCGGACAGATGACACCAAGATTGAGTTGTTTGGGAAGAACACACAACACTATGTGTGGAGAAAAAAAGGCACAGCACACCAACATCAAAACCTCATCCCCACTGTGAAACATGGCGGAGGGAGCATCATGGTTTGGGGCTGCTTTGCTGCCTCAGGGCCTGGACGGATTGTTGTCATTGATGGGAAAATGAATTCCAGAGTTTATCAAGACATTTTGCAGGAAAACGTACGACCATCTGTCCGCCAACTGAAGCTCCGCAGAGGATGGGTGATGCAACAGGACAATGACCCCCAAAGCATACAAGTCATTCAACAAAACAATGGCTGCAACAGCACAGAATACGCCTTCTGGAGTGGCCCAGTCAGAGTCCTGACCTCAACCCCATTGAAATGCTGTGGCATGACCTTAAGAGAGCGATTCACACCAGACATCCCAAGAATATTGCTACACTGAAACAGTTTTGTGAAGAGGAGTGGTCCAAAATGACTCCAGATCGTTGTGCAGGTCTGATCTGCAACTACAGGAAACGTTTGGTTGAGGTTATTGCTGCCAAAGGAGGGTCAACCAGTTATTAAGTCCAAAGGTTCACGTACTTTTTCCTCCCTGCACTGTGAATGTTTACATGTTATGTGCAATTAAACCATGACAACATCTAATGTTTGTGTAGTATTATGTTCAGCAGACTGTGTTCTTCTATTGTTGTGACTTAGATGACGTTCAGAGCACATTTTATGCCCAATTCATGCAAAACTCCACGTAATCCCAAGGGGTTCACATACTTTTTCTTGCAACTGTATATACCACAGAGCAGTATACGGGTATATATACCACAGAGCAGTATACGGGTATATATACCACAGAGCAGTATACGGGTATATATACCACACAGAGCAGTATACGGGTATATATACCACAGAGCAGTATACGGGTATATATACCACACAGAGCAGTATACGGGTATATATACCACACAGAGCAGTATACGGGTATATATACCACACAGAGCAGTATACGGGTATATATACCACAGAGCAGTATACGGGTATATATACCACAGAGCAGTATACGGGTATATATACCACAGAGCAGTATACGGGTATATATACTACACAGAGCAGTATACGGGTATATATATATACCACAGAGCAGTATACGGGTATATATACCACAGAGCAGTATACGGGTATATATACTACACAGAGCAGTATACGGGTATATATACCACACAGAGCAGTATACGGGTATATATACCACACAGAGCAGTATACGGGTATATATACTACAGAGCAGTATACGGGTATATATACCACAGAGCAGTATACGGGTATATATGACGCCGTATACACGCATCTTATTTGCATGTTTTCTGCCATTTTTGATGTCGCCTTGAAAACCGCCATAAATTGTGATTTCATGTAAACCTCCTGGACCGCGAAGCTCCGCCTTCCTGGGGTGACGCCGTCATTTGGGGATCTGCGCTCGTCCTGCACATCGCGAGTCTGAAATAATCGCGCGGCTCCACGCCGTCACGCACACACAAACGCCGCTCCGCGCACAACCCGCTCATTATCCTCCGTCGCACCTACTTGGCATATAAAGCCGCCATCGCAAAAAGAAATAAAAATGACGGAATGCTATTTTAGGCCTAAAAACGCCTAAATTTGACATATTTAACACTCAATTAAAGTAAGATTGGCGCACTCTGGCACGCACGCTAATCCCGCCATGACACGCAGATCACTCCATCCGCCCGAAATATATGAAATATTAGGACTTTCACAAAGTGACTTATGTGACAGCAATCCGAGCCGACCGCGGAAACGGCGTCCAACGCAGCTGCGAGGGGGGGGGGGAGGGGGGGATTGGGAGTCGCCGGCCAGCAGCGTCTGCAGGATCAGGTGTCCATGTTCGCCAGCGACGTCCTCACGTAACAGGTCAAGATGCTGAGTGTCGCTTAAAGGGTCAGTCCGCACCGGAATGATCGATCGGGGACTTGGTGGAAGACGGAGGACAAAAGTGTATCTAAAGCCAAAACTGACGTCTGCGTCCCCAATGGACAGATTCACCCACCTCTGTGTCCTGGTGACCACGTCATGAAGAAGGAAATAGAAAATGGTGTCGGTGACACCGGACCGAGAGGTGAGGGAAATCCACCAATGAGGACTCCTGTAAGGAGCCATTCCTTCTACTGACCCCCAATGTAAGGGACATTCTTCCCACTGACCCCCCCAATGTAAGGGACATTCTTCCCACTGACCCCCAATGTAAGGGACATTCTTCCCACTGACCCCCAATGTAAGGGACATTCTTCCCACTGACCCCCAATGTAAGGAACATTCTTCCACTGACCCCCCCAATGTAAGGGACATTCTTCCCACTGACCCCCCCAATGTAAGGGACATTCTTCCCACTGACCACCAATGTAAGGGACATTCTTCCCCACTGATCCCCAATGTAAGGGACATTCTTCCCACTGATCCCCAATGTAAGGGACATTCTTCCCACTGACCCCCAATGTAAGGGACATTCTTCCCACTGACCCCCAATGTAAGGGACATTCTTCCCACTGACCCCCCAATGTAAGGGACATTCTTCCCACTGACCCCCAATGTAAGGGACATTCTTCCCACTGACCCCCAATGTAAGGGACATTCTTCCCACTGACCCCCAATGTAAGGGACAATCTTCCCACACTGACACCAATGTAAGGGACATTCTTCCCACTGACCCCCCAATGTAAGGGACATTCTTCCCACTGATCCCCAATGTAAGGGACATTCTTCCCACTGACCCCCCAATGTAAGGGACATTCTTCCCACTGACCCCCCAATGTAAGGGACATTCTTCCCACTGACCCCCAATGTAAGGGACATCCTCCCACTGACCCCCAATGTAAGGGACATTCTTCCCACTGACCCCCAATGTAAGGGACATTCTTCCCACTGACCCCCAATGTAAGGGACATTCTTCCCACTGACCCCCAATGTAAGGGACATTCTTCCCACTGACCCCCCAATGTAAGGGACATTCTTCCCACTGACCCCCAATGTAAGGGACATTCTTCCCACTGACCCCCAATGTAAGGGACATTCTTCCCACTGACCCCCCAATGTAAGGGACATTCTTCCACTGATCCCCAATGTAAGGGACATTCTTCCCACTGATCCCCAATGTAAGGGACATTCTTCCCACTGATCCCCAATGTAAGGGACATTCTTCTCACTGACCCCCAATGTAAGGGACATTCTTCCCACTGACCCCCCAATGTAAGGGACATTCTTCCCACTGACCCCCAATGTAAGGGACATTCTTCCCACTGACCCCCAATGTAAGGGACATTCTTCCCACTGACCCCCCCCCAATGTAAGGGACATTCTTCCCACTGACCCCCAATGTAAGGGACATTCTTCCCACTGACCCCCAATGTAAGGGACATTCTTCCCACTGACCCCCAATGTAAGGGACATTCTTCCCACTGACCCCCCCAATGTAAGGGACATTCTTCCCACTGACCCCCAATGTAAGGGACATTCTTTGCACTGACCCCCAATGTAAGGGACATTCTTCCCACTGACCCCCCAATGTAAGGGACATTCTTCCCACTGACCCCCCAATGTAAGGGACGTTCTTCCCACTGACCCCCCCAATGTAAGGGACATTCTTCCCACTGACCCCCCAATGTGAGGGGAGGGGCATGGACACATCTTTTGTCTGGGTGTCAGGGATGGGCGCCCCCTGTGGTCATGTGATTATGGTGCGCTCCGCACAGTCATGTTTGGGGGTCCACTCACCCAGGATTTTGCTGATGTTGGAGTTGTGCATGTCGGGGAAGGCCTGCAGGATTTTCCTCCTCTCGTCTTTCGCCCAAACCATGAAAGCGTTCATTGGTCGCTTGATGTGCGGCTCATTGGTGCTCCGCCCCCGGGAGTCTCTGTACACTCGCGCCTCCACCACCGTGGTGCCCCCTGCAGGTGACAAAAGGGAATCCTACAGTCTACCAATCAACATAGAAAAACATTTGGAGGGTCTCGCCCTCCCAGATGAGCCCCCGATGAGCCCCCACATGAGCCCCGGATGAGCCCCCACATGAGCCCCCGGATGAGCCCCCACATGAGCCCCCGGATGAGCCCCCACATGAGCCCCCGGATGAGCCCCCACATGAGCCCCCGGATGAGCCCCCACATGAGCCCCCAGATGAGCCCCCGGATGAGCCCCCACATGAGCCCCCACATGAGCCCCCGGATGAGCCCCCACATGAGCCCCCGGATGAGCCCCCACATGCCCAGACCCAATCGATTCATTCACGAACAAGACGGAGCACAACCATCCGCAGGAGCATTACTCCATCAGTCTCTTCTATTTCCTGGACAATCTATTAGTGAGATCTCTGTACCCTCACTGTGCCCATTATGAGGGGTTCCCCACCCTGTGCAGTTCCCGGGTCCACTGTGCCGAGGGGTTCCCGGATCCTGTACCGAGTTCCCGGTCTGTACGCCCGCTGTACCCATTATGAGGGGTTCCCACCATCCCTGTGCCCATTATGAGGGGTTCCCACCATCCCTGTGCTGAGTTCCCGGGTCTGTAGCGCCCGCTGTGCCCATTATGAGGGGTTCCCACCATCCCTGTGCCCATTATGAGGGGTTCCCACCATCCCTGTGCTGAGTTCCCGGATCTGTACCCCCGCTGTACCCATTATGAGGGGTTCCCACCATCCCTGTGCCCATTATGAGGGGTTCCCACCATCCCTGTGCTGAGTTCCCAGGTTTGTACTCCCGCTGTGCCCATTATGAGGGGTTCCCACCATCCCTGTGCTGAGTTCTCGGGTCTGTACCCCCGCTGTGCCCATTATGAGGGGTTCCCACCATCCCTGTGCCGAGTTCCCGGATCTGTACCCCCGCTGTACCCATTATGAGGGTTCCCACCATCCCTGTGCCCATTATAAGGGGTTCCCACCATCCCTGTGCTGAGTTCCCGGGTCTGTACTCCCCGCTGTGCCCATTATGAGGGGTTCCCACCATCCCTGTGCTGAGTTCCCCGGGTCTGTACCCATTATGAGGGGTTCCCACCATCCCCTGTGCCCATTATGGGGGTTTCCCACCATCCCTGTGCTGAGTTCCAGGTCTGTACACCCGCTGTGCCCATTATGGGGGGTTCCCACCATCCCTGTGCTGAGTTCCCGGGTCTGTACCCCGCTGTGCCCATTATGAGGGGTTCCCACCATCCCTGTGCCGAGTTCCCGGGTCTGTACCCCGCTGTGCCCATTATGAGGGGTTCCCACCATCCCTGTGCTGAGTTCCCGGGTCTGTACACCCGCTGTGCCCATTATGAGGGGTTCCCACCATCCCTGTGCTGAGTTCCCATGTCTGTACTCCCGCTATGCCCATTATGAGGGGTTCCCACCATCCCTGTGCCGAGTTCCCAGGGTCTGTACCCCCGCTGTACCCATTATGAGGGGTTCCCACCATCCCTGTGCCGAGTCCCTGTGTGCCCATTATAAGGGGTTCCCACCATCCCTGTGTGAGTTCCCATTATAATGAGGGTTTCCCACCATCCCTGTGCCCATTATGAGGGGTTCCCACCATCCCTGTGCTGAGTTCCCGGGTCTGTACTCCCGCTGTGCCCATTATGGGGGTTCCCACCATCCCTGTGCTGAGTTCCCGGGTCGTACGCCCGCTGTGCTCATTATGGGGGGTTCCCACCATCCCTGTGCTGAGTTCCCGGGTCTGTACCCCCGCTGTCCCCATCATGCAGATTTCTTAGCAGATAATGTACAGAAATCCTTCAGGTTGGCAAATTGTATTGAATTGGATAGAAATGACAGCGGCATCGTGTAACAAATGTATATATTTTTTTAATTTGCTACATTGTATTCCTTCAAAGTGGAGTTGCCCTTTAAGTTCCCAGACAGGCCGGTCACTGAGGCCACATCTCCAGCTGCACATCATGCACCGCGGGGGCGGCCTTGTACAGCCCCGCCCAGGAAGAGTTGTTTGTGTATCTTTGATGCTGCAATCACAGCCCCCCCCCCCCCCCCCAAGTGTTGACCAGCAGCCTGACTTTCCACCTTTTTTACGTACAACCCTCCGCCGCTCCCGACGTCATCCCGTAAAATGTATGGGGGTTCAAGTGACCCCCAGCGGCTTATCCGTTCTTCTTTTATTTCGCTGGTCTCTGCCGGCCGAGCGCAGAGATTCTCATTCCTGATCCTACTTGCTCTATCCCAGCCTGTCGGGTGGCGGCAGCGGCGCCCGGCGAACGCACAGCGAGCTGCGCTCTGCCATATGTCAATGAACAAAGGGAGCCAACCAAATCCTTCTTGTGGTCTTGGCTGCTGTCCCGCCTCCGAGTTTGAAGAGAGCTAATGGCTGCGGTGGGCTGATGCATGTGGCTCGTGGCTTCTGCAAAACGAAGGAAATTCGACACTGCTTCTGTCTGAAAACCGCTTTCCAAACTCCTCCGTCTGAGCTCTGCTACCGCCGTACTTTCCCCTCAGCGGCACGTCTTTACGAAGAAGATCGCACTTTTATTTCAGCGTTCCTATTTTTACGGAATCGTTTTTTTTTTTTTTCCAGCGGAGGGGAATCTGAAGGCTTGTTGCGGTCTCGCCCGTCAGAATAGTGACATCTTTGTCTCCGCGTCTCCCTTTCATTACGCCGTTGGCGGTTTTTTAAAGCGAAAATCAGATCCCCGCGCAGCGTCCATGGCAACGGTAAATATTTAGACGCCGAAAGAATTGACAATCGAGAAGATTCTTCCGCAGAGTTGCAGGAAAAAAATAAATACGTTTTAAAAAAAAAAAACAAAAAAAACGTTCCATCGTTAATATGGAAAGTGATTAGGAGGCGAATCTGACGATTAAACGGCGAAACCGATCGCCCAGCAGGGAGAGAAACGCCATCCAATCGCCCAGCTGGGCCCATAAAACATGGCGGCTCATCACTGGGGAGGAGATTCGTGTTTCCCAAATATCTCTGAAGGCCTCCGAACATTCGCAGGGTGGAGGCTGAAGGAGGACAAAATACGGGATGAGGAAAAGCTACCGGGGGAAGATGCAACCGCCGAAGACCCTCCGCCCAGGAAGACCCTCCCGCCCAGGAAGACCTCCCGCCCAGGAAGACCCTACCGCCAGGGAAGACGCAACCGCCGCTGGGACAGACGCTACCGCCGAGGAAGACCCTACCGCCGGGGAAGACGCAACCGCCGGGGAAGACGCTAACCGCCAGGGAAGACGCAACCGCTGGGACAGACGCTACCGCCGGGGAAGACGGTACCGCCAGGGAAGACGCAACCGCCCAGGAAGACGCTACCGCACCCAGGGAAGACGCAACCGCTGGGACAGACGCTACCGCCGGGAAGACCCTACCGCCAGGGAAGACGCAACCGCCCAGGGGAAGACCTACCGCCAGGGAAGACGCAACCGCAGGGACAGACGGTACCGCTGGGGAAGACGCAACCGCAGGGGAAGACGCTACCGCCAGAACAGACGCTACCGCAGGGGAAGACCCTACCGCCCGGGACAGACGCTACCGCAGAGGAAGACGCTACCGCAGGGGAAGACGCTACCGCAGGGGAAGACGTTAACGCAGAGGAAGACGCTACCGCAGGGGAAGACGCTACCGCCGGGGAAGACGCTACCGCCGGGGAAGACGCTACTGCCAGAAAGACGCTACCGCCGGGGAAGACGCTAACGCAGGGAAGACGCTACCGCAGGGGAAGACGCTACCGCAGGGAAGACGCTACCAGGGGAAGACGCTACCGCAGAGGAAGACGCTACCGCAGGGGAAGACGCTACCGCAGGGGCAGACCCTACCGCCGGGGAAGACCCTACCGCAGAGGGAAGACGCTACCGCAGAGGAAGACGCTACCGCGGGGGAAGATGCTACTGCAGAACAGACGCTACCGCCCGGGGAAGACGCTAACGCAGAGGAAGACGCTACCGCAGGGGAAGACGCTACCGCCGGGGAAGACGCTACCGCCGGGGAAGACGCTAACGCAGAGGAAGACGCTACCGCCTACCGCCGGGGCAGGACGCAATTGCCGCCACCCCACTGCACTGAGGTCTTTGCAATGACGCATTGGTATAAATATTTTCTGGAAGGGGGAGGGTCCCTCTTTTATTTTTATGTCTGTGCCCCCACCTAAAAGATTTCCATGAACTTCCTGTCCCGGTGACCACACAGGAAGTGAGAAGAAATCCTAATGGGAGCAAAGACAGCAACAGAACTTGACTTAAGATCTTTACGACTTTATTACGACCCCCCTACATTACAATATCTGGGCCCTTTCAGATTCCGATAAGCCCCCCCGGACCCCCACACAACCCACACGCCAGGGTTGTGGGGAAGAGGCCTTTGTCCTTGTCAACCCTGCAAGCCCCCCCTCTTCCCTCCCACGTTGAGTGGCCTAGTATAGTGGGGGGGGGGGGGGGGGGGGAGTCGGGATGAATGCTCAGATTAAGGGTCTGGTATGGATTCTTAGCTCCTCCTACTCTTTAGTGCCGGGTCACACCGCTGCGATTTCCGGTGCGATTTGGGAATCGTATCCAATGACTGTGAATGTCTCAGCACGTTGGATTTTCTGCGGCGCGATTCCTCGTGCGACTTTTTCTGCAGTTTTGTTGCGATTTCACATCCGTAGAATAGAATAGAAATCGTTCCGCAAATGACAAGAAATTGTTGAAAATCGTCTCAAGCAGCAATAAAGTCTTCAGAAATCGCGCTGAAATTGGCGCGGTGTGACCGGTGACTTTGGGAGGGTTTCCTGTCCCCCCGCCGGGATCCCACTACACACGACTCTGCGGCGACGCGGCGATAGTTTGGGAATGTCCTGCGCGCGGCGGCGGCGGCGGCGGGGGGGGGGGGGTAGATGCTGTTTGCAGAGGAGCGGAGAGAGGAAACACACGAAGCCAAAGGAACAAAACATGAAATATTAATGGCGGCTCTGCGATAAAACAGACGGATGGCGAGATTTCCGCGACATTCCTAACAAGTTAACAAATAGTCTGTTTAATGAGCTGATTGTTGTGTGGAGGAGACTGGAGGCGATCATTGTGCGCTGCGTCCCTCTTCATTCCCCGGGATCCGCTCTGCAGGCCGTGGACCCCCCCAGGTTCCTGGACCCCCCCCCTGTCACAGGTTCCTGGACCCCCCCCGTGTCACAGGTTCCTGGACCCCCCCCCCCGTGTCACAGGTTCCTGGACCCCCCCCCCCCTGTCACAGGTTCCTGGACCCCCCCCCCCGTGTCACAGGTTCCTGGACCCCCCCGTGTCACACGTTCTTGAACCCCCCCCCAATCAAAGGTTCTTGGACCCCCCCGTGTCACAGGTTCCTGGACACCCCCCCCCCGTATCACAGGTTCCTGGACCCCCCCGTGTCACAGGTTCCTGGACCCCCCCCCCGTGTCACAGGTTCCTGGACCCCCCCTCCCCTGTCACAGGTTCCTGGACCCCCCCGTGTCACACGTTCTTGAAACCCCCCCCCCAATCAAAGGTTCTTGGACCCCCCCCGTGTCACAGGTTCCTGGACACCCCCCCCCCCGTGTCACAGGTTCCTGGACCCCCCCCCCGTATCACAGGTTCCTGGACCCCCCCCTTCCCCTGTCACAGGTTCCTGGACCCCCCCGTGTCACACGTTCTTGAACCCCCCCCCAATCAAAGGTTCTTGGACCCCCCCCGTGTCACAGGTTCCTGGACACCCCCCCCCCCCCGTATCACAGGTTCCTGGACCCCCCCGTGTCACAGGTTCCTGGACCCCCCCCCCCGTGTCACAGGTTCCTGGACCCCCCCTCCCCTGTCACAGGTTCCTGGACCCCCCGTGTCACACGTTCTTGAACCCCCCCCCAATCAAAGGTTCTTGGACCCCCCCCCGTGTCACAGGTTCCTGGACCCCCCCCCCCCCTGTATCACAGGTTCCTGGACCCCCCCCCCGTGTCACAGGTCCTTGGACCCCCCCCCTCCCCCCTTCCCAAAATCTGGACCAATGAATCCCCTCAGCTGCTGAGGAACTACAAGTACCAGGATGTCCAGCAAGCAGCAAGTTCTAGGCGGATTCTGCCACCTGCTGGCCTCTTCCATGTCTGCTGAGATGAGCGGAGAATCCAGAAATCTCAGAATCCGGTCCGGGATTTATATAGTTTTACTTTATAACATTTGTGTATTTTTTATGATCGCTTTTTCTATTTTCCGAACAAAATATTGCGGCTGATGAGACTTTTTTTGTTTTTTTTGGTACAAGATCAGCTCCAGGACTGGTGAACAGCGGGTGTACAGACCCAGGAACTCGGCACAGGGATGGTGGGAACCCCTCATAATGGGCACAGTGGGGGTACAGACCCAGGAACTCGGCACAGGGATGGTGGGAACCACTCATAATGGGCACAGTGGGGG